CCCCCCCCCCCCCCCCCCCCGAATTTCTCTGTCTTGAACGAAGACCAGGCAGCAGAAGATGAAGGGTGAATTTTGGGGCTAGGGTTTCTATCTCAAATTGAGGGAAATGCAGCAGAACTCAAAGGGAGCATTTGAGTTATGGGTATGGGGCGGAAGCTTTAAGGAGTGATTGATGGTCAGAAGGCATAACTTACAGGAATCTCACGAAGGAGAGCAGGCAACGACACACTTACAGAGAAGCACGTGAAGTAGTAGTTCGCGTGTTAGAGCGTTAGAGATGGACAAAGCAGGTCATAGCCATGAATCTTCACTGTAGAAATACAGAGAAGTTAACTCAAGTTGCAGTGGGAAGATGAACTCAAAAAAGGTAGGTAACTCGAATTTATTTTCGAGTTTCGTTTTGAGTTTTGACACGTCAAACGTGAACTTGGGCCAAGTTTAACTCTCGAGTGGGCCTTTCTTGAGTAAACTGCACCAACCGAATAGCACCCTAATTTCTCAGATTCGCGCTTTCTCCCTAGTACGTGTTTCTCATGCTCTCTCTCTTCCCCTCATCCACGCTCTCTCTCTTCCTTCTCCCCTCACGGCCACTCTCTTTTGTTAGTCAATATGGGTGACTCATTGTTAAAAATATGGGCTATACACTTATGTTAAAAACTAAAAGAGAAAGTTAGAGATGGAGAAGAAGAAGAGAGAGAGCACCGAAAACGGTGTTGACTTTAAGAAGTGAACCCAGCTGTTTACAGTTGGTTCATGCGTAGAAGATGGGGAGACAAAGACTATAAATACAGGTCTCGCCTCATTTGTTTTGCATCCCAAAAACTGAGAGTTTCTCCCCTTTGTAAATTTGTAAGAAATTCTTTAAATTTTCAATTTGTGGGTTTGCGTAATTTCTGCCTAATTTGTAATCTTTCTTCTTTTTAGTAAATATAGTGGTCCACAGTGCCCGAAGACGTAGGCAATATTTGGCCGAACTCTATTATCAATTATGGTGTTTTTTTATTTATTTTCAATAGTCAATAGTTATTATGTCAGTTTTGTCCACTGCGTATAGTAATGTTCATCTATGCAGTACTATTCAATATATGGCACTATTCACGTGTATGATACTATTCACAAGTATTGTTTACAGTAAAGTTGTTTTTGAGTGGGAAATACCCGATTTCCCCAACATCTTTCTCTCTCCTCCTTCGCTGCTCTCTCTCTCTCTCCTCACTGCTGCAATCTCCCCTCGATCTCTCTCTGTTCGTCGATCTCTCCCTGCACTTTCTCTCTCTTCGTCAATCTCTCTCTCTACTCTCTCTGCCGATCTCTCTCTCTAAGTTTTTATATACACACCTTTTCTCCTTAAATGGAGAAAAGAAAGAGTCTTTAGTGTTTTACAGAATCTTTTGTTTGCTTTCCTTACTTGCTGCTGCTAATTTCTTTGCCTCCCAACCCAAGTTGTTACCACATCTGCAAGTGTCAAGGGTATGTAATTTTGATTAGCGAATGGGAATCTGTATGGAATGCTTGCTATCATACTTGTAGGTAGGTGGTATTTCGTTAAGGAAATAATAAGAGAATTGGGAACCTAAAGACTCTGTTACTGAAATAAAAGGAAATTTTGACTTTGCAATAGGAAACCATTTGAATTATATCTAGGATTTTTACATGTAAATGTACTGTAGCGAATTAATATACTAGAAAGTACTAACTTAGAAGGGTAGTATAATATTCCAGATTATGACTCTTAGAACTTTGATCAGAACATCAAGGAGGAATACATTTGAAAGGAGATTCTTAAAGACCACTTCCTAAAATTAATCACAAAAATGCAAGAGCCTTTTGGGGATGGTACATCTAGAAAATTTTTAACCTTTTCTGTGAAGTGTTGTTTGTTTTGTTTAAATTGAGGAATGGACGCACTGTTCAGTTTAAGAAAATAACCTTTTACGTGGTAGATGCTTCATTTATGTTGTAAATACTTCATTTAACAACAGACAAATTCTATTCAATTTGGTAAATGGAGTATTTTACATGGTAAATGATGGATTTACCAATCAAACAGAGAATCTGATGTTATAAGCAAGAAGTTGCTTTCTAGTATTTTGTTGTCGTTTACATGGTAAAATATTGTAAACAGTAAATTAATTTATGATAAATTGATGACTTACATAGTATTTTTATTATTTACTAAAATATAGAAATTGAGTTTGTCTGGAAAATGAAATATTTATCAGGTAAATAGAACATTTACCATATAAAAATAATTGTAAAATTGAAATACCTATTGATTCATAAATGATGCATTTACCAAGTAAATTCGTCATTTACCATAAATGATGGATTTACCTGGTAAATCCTTCATTCACTAGGGATGTATATGAAAAAAAATTAAAATTTAGGTTAAAAATTTTAAAAATTGAGGGGTCAAAAATAATTTTTAAAAAAACTTAAGGAGTCAAAATATAATTTTAAAAAACTTAAAGGGTCAAAATATAATTTTTTAAAAAATTAAGGCGTTAAAATATAATTTTTAAAAAATTAATGTTTGGTAAATAGAAAATTTACAGGATAAATGTAATATTTACCACATAAAGTTGTATAAGGGTAAAATTAAGACACCATGTATCAAATTTTAAATTATGCTATTTATTTTTATTGTTGGTAAGTATGCTATTTACCACAAATGACTTTTAGAAAATGGTCCATATGTTACAATTTCCCTTAGCTCTATAACAATTGAATATTTATCTTTTCAAATGTTTCTTGTGGCATATTTGATGTTATATATATCATTATTTTGTAATCCTCTTTTCAACAACTGTTTAGTTGAAAAACAAAAAACAAAAGAGAAAAGTATACGATTTTGCGATAAATATTGAAAATATGCACTTAATTTTTTATAAGAATTTGTAAAAGGAAGAATAGTGTATCACACAAGAATTTTTATACAACCGTTTATTCTATTTAAAATGCTTGTGTGCTAATAATTAAAAAGCAAAAACATATGCAACTATTATTGATATAATAAGTTCAAGATTCTTATTACTCCAAATAAAACCAACAAACTCAAACCGAAAGACACGAACTAAAGCCTAAAAACTAATATTTAAAAACTAATAATTGTAAACAAAAGGCATAACTCTGCTTCAGTATCAGTTCAAAAAAAAAAAAAAAAAAAAAAAAAATATATATATATATATCTACTTCAGTTCTCTTGTGCCGTAGTTTGGGCTTGCTTAGCGTCTCCCTTCCCATTGTCCTCCTCCTCATCAAAATACCTCTTCCAGAACCAATGCTTTTTCCACACTCTCTCCGTCATTTCATCAATGGGAATCCCCTTGGTCTCTGGCAACAAGAAAATGGCAAAGAATAGCATGACGAGAACCCACGCGGCGAAGAAGAAGAAGATTCCTGCGCGCATGTGGCAAAGCATGGTAAGGAATGCTTGGGCGATGAGGAAGGTGAACAACATGTTGGTGCCGACTGCGAAGAAGAAACCGGCGTTCCGAACCTCCAACGGGAAGATCTCGCTCGGGATCAACCATCCCAAAGGACCCCATGACCATGCGAATCCAGACACAAAAAAGCATATCAAGACTACCACAATCGTGGCGTACGTAGGTGACATTGTGTTTGTGGTTTTCAATTGGGTTGAGATAATTCCTCCAATAACGGACTACAAATTGAAAACAATAACAAGTTAATAAACGGCAACTGGAATTTTAGGGGGAAAAAAAATTAATTGTAGATAGTACTACTAGTACTAATTTGAAATGCCAAAAAAAAAAAAAAAAAAACCAATATTTTCATTAAAGAGTTAATTAACTAGAAAACTATCCCTTACCTTTTACTAAATAATTCCCAAATAATTAAGAAGTGTACTTTTTCTAAGAAATGTTCCATACCTGTGCAATGAGCATCTGAAATGCAGCTTCAATAAGCAATACCTTCCTCCCAACTCTATCAACCATAAAATTAGCGACCAAAGTTGATACAACATTAATCGAACCAGTGACCGCAGCGGACAGGAGCGACGCGTCACTAGCGAACCCCATGGTCTGGAACAACACCGGAGCATAAAACATGATCACATTAATCCCTGTGAATTGCTGGAACACCTGAAGCACAATGCTGACCACAAGCTGAGGCCTTCTTGATCTCTTGAAGAGACTTTTGTACGAGTGTTTGGTTTGGTTAGCTGTTTCCGTGGCCTGCACAATTGATTGGAATTCCTTTTCCACATCTTCTACGCCCCTGATCTTCCTTAGAACACTTAAGCCTTTATCCTTCTTTCCACGCTCCACAAGACTAGTTGGGGTCTCCGTAATTACAGTGGATCCAATCAAAAGGATTAGAGCTGGTACGGCTGCTCCTCCCAATGAGACCCTCCAGCCATATGGGTGGAGACGAGAAGTGCCATAGTTGACAAAGTTTGCACACAAAATGCCGACAGTGATCAGCAACTGAAAGCAAATGTTTAGAGATCCTCGATACCTTGTTGGAGCGATTTCTGAGATAAATAATGGTATAGCCTGCATGATCACATATCAATATCTTTAGCCTTTCGTCTACACTAAAATATTAAGAACTATTCACGTAATGTCATCAAATACAAAGGAAATGATTAATCTTATTATACTTTTATATTTTTTTTATTTCCTTTTTTTATTTTCTATTACCGTCGTTTTTTCTTGTGATTTAAGATTTTCTTAACGTTTTCTTGTTGGAAGGGAGTCATCCATTTTTCAATGTCAGTATCGTTTTCTTTCGTCATTAGTAAAATATATTTTATATTTATTTAAAAATAAGAATAATCTATCACATTTCATAAGCGGTTGTTTATCAAATACAAAGATAATGATTTATCGGTATGTATTAAAAAAACTACAATTACACATATTTTAATGTTTGTGAAGGTAATGGTTCGATGAAGAATTGATCAATATGGTAAAACTGTATATGTTCCTTACGTTAATCACATTATATGATGTATGCAAACAATAAGAATAATCAAATATGTGGTAGTTTAATAAATGTTTCATTAAAATATGTGGTAGTTTCATACATATGTGTATACATGTATAAGGTCAAAAGAAACAACACTATATTGCTCCCAAAAAAAAAAATCACGAAGCAAAAATAAAACATCCACCATCCACTGTCAACACAAGGCTCAAATATTGCATATCATGACCTCAATTGTTTTCATGGGAGAAAAAATAGAAAAAAAAATAAATCATGAGAAAAAACTGAGAAAAAAATAGGAAAATCCGGTATAATTAATGCGTGGGTGGATGGATGGAGAAAGAAGACAAACATTCATTTTAATTTTATTTGTACTTTCTTTTTTTTGGAAACTTACGGGGTATAAAAAGTTATAAAATCATATATTATTTAATTTGATTGGTGGTTTCAGAAAATAGATTTGATAGGTTCGATCGTATAATATTTAAATCTGTCTTATCTCCAATACTCCTTGATTCTCGCCATTAAATTCTCATTGTGAACAGTAACAAAAAATAAAAAATCATGAAAAAATTAGCATCAAAGCGGTTTTTAATCAATAGTTTCACGAAACTTTATCTTTTTTCCACATAATTATTGTAATTCTGTATTTTCTTGTAACGATAAAATATATAAAGTTAATGAGATGTGGATTGTCCGCGTTTTGTTTGCACATTATACAATAAATTATCATTGTGGTGAGAATATTTGTTTCAAAGGAAATATTTTTATCTTTTTGGACTAGATTCAAAGAACAAGCAAAAGATTTAAAAACAAAAAAAACAAAAAACATTAGCATCAAAACGGTTTTATCTCAACAGTTCACCAACCTTTTTTTTCCACAAAATTATGTGTATTTTCTTGTAGCGTTCAAATGAATTAAAGTTAATGAGTGGTGGATCAATTTTCCGCGTTGTGTTTGCATATTATACATACATGTAGATGATTTTATGTATACAAAGTACAAACACACATAAATATAGACAATATTAGACATTACATAAAATATATTAATTATATATGTACATACCTGGTTTCCAAACCCAACACCAGCACCAAGGCAGATCCTTCCAGCGATCAACATCAGTAGATTTACTGCACCGGTGCTTAGAATTGCCCCTATCACGAAGAAAACAGACGCAAATTGAATCGTGAGTTTCCTTCCAAATTTCTTGCAAAAGATCGAAGCCACGAACGACGCGGCGATGGCTGCGAGGTAAAGCGAAGACGTGAAGAGCTGCAAAAGCTGGTTGTCGTATTTGCAGTAATTGTTTTCCTTCGCATGATGCTTCTTGGCATAGACGACGGGGAAAAATTTTATCAAAAAATCGTCCATGGATGTCACTCCCCCTATATAAAAAAAAAAAAAAAAACGAAATCATTAACACTTGGAAAAACAAATAAAAAAAGACGATCAGTACTATTGACATTCACGACGTGAATGTTGTCGACTACTATTTTTACCCGAAATGCCGATATCGTAACCGAACATGAGACCGCCAAAGGCAGCAATTATACTGCAAACGACGACCTGCTTTGTGAGTTTTGCAGGGAAGTCGCCATTGGCGGTACCACCGGATTCAGATATAACCACAGCCGGCATGTTTTTCTTCTGTAGTGTCACGGAGAAAAAAGTGATGGGAGAAGTTTGATTATGGGTTTTTAACGCATATTTATAACAGATTCTCCCGTAGCTTCATATATATCCACTTTTTTTATTTTTCGGGATTTTGATATTCTTTTTCAAACTAGCCTATTAGATAAAATCATATCCATATAAAGATAACAATCGACTTTAATTTTCTTAATTATTGATTTATTTTTAGAAACTATCAAAATACTTTCAAATTTTAAAAACTTGTAAAATCTTCACCCCGCACTTTTCTGAATAAAAAAATTAGTAAAAAAATCCCTTAAATTAATATTTCTAAAAATTATGTTCCTTAAAATATTATGGAAACCTTAAAACATAAAAAACTAAAGCAAAAAAAGAAAAAAAAAACGTAATTAAATCTAAAATCTCAACCAACGAAAAATCAATCACAACTGTAAAAAATCAACATTAGCAAAACAAATTTTGAGTATTACAACGTTAGCAAATTACATAAAAAGGATTTTAGCAAAAAATAAAAAATAAAAAAATAAAAAAATAAAAGTTGGTGGCAACAACAACAAGATCAGCAATAACGGCCGTGTTGGAAGATCGGGTGGTTAGCACAGGGTGTCGGGTGGCGGATTTGGTGTTGAGTAGGGAGGCAGATTTAGGTGCGAGGGGGCGAAATGGTTGATGAAAGGCGAGTGAGGCTAGGGACTAGACACTGAATGGAAGCACATGTGGACAATTTGTCATGGGGTTCATCTTTTTTCTTCTCGGTGCATTTTGTTATCACTTAATTATTCATTAATAAAATTACTTATTAAGTACAACTATATTTAAAAAAAAATTACTTATTACGCACAACATCTTAAAAAAAATAATTATTGCCTTCTAAAATTATTGTGGCCTATCATTTATTTTGAAATCACTTGCTAACGTTTGATAAAAATGATTCTACTATTATATTGCAAGGCTTTTTTCGCATAAATAAATTGTGGCATATCTTCAATTGGAAGATCTAATGATCAAAGTTGCTTATATAATCAATTTGGTTATATTATAAAACAGCAAGAACAACACATGGAAAACAAATAAAGGCACATAAAGTATTTCTAAAAAAAGGGCACATAAAGTAATACAATGCAATAAACACGGTTGAAAAGATAAACAATTAGCCTAGTGTATTGATATCTTACATTTTATCTAATATATTTTTTTTAATGGAGAAATTTCATTTAATAATTAAGTCAATACATACTTTTAAATAGTTGCAAATGAGCATTAATCACATATAAAAATTGAATCCACCAATAAAGATAAATGAGCCACGAAGGCAATACGAGTGCCGAGTCCTAATGAAAAAGATCCGCTTAGCACATTAACAATCGACACGAACAAAACTCGTTTAATAAAACCACTACAATCGATAGATAAAACTAGTTGATTGAGACCAAATTAAAGACCTAGAGCATTAGGGTCATTCAGAACACTGTATAGGATAAAACCTAATGCAATAAATCTACCACCACCATAGAAAGGTGGGACGACAACTTGCGTTATTACATGACGAAAACATAAAAACTGAAATGGTGGAATCAACATTGCCTTTATGATGTCAAAATATAAATTAAAAACGAGACGAAATTCGTCAACCACACAGATAAGATCTTGGTGATAAGTTGGCCACCAAGATCATAAAAGATAGACAGACGAGGATCCACACGACTCCACCACCGACCTTGAGTGCTTATGCACGGATAACTTTCTCAATGACCACCTTTTTATTGTCCATGACGTAAATACGACAGAGATCTGGCATGCACAACATGGTTCGTCAAAAAACGGCACTCCCTATTCCTCCCTTTCGTTGACAAAGTCGCCACATCACCATAATCATTGTCATGAGATCTAGAGCCATGTCTCTAGGACTGGGGGTCCGGTGACCAGTCAAGAGGTGACGCTGGACTCTTGGCCCTAAATGAGAAAAGCGAGCAGCGCAAATAAAAGAAAGAAGCCCTAGAGATTGAAAGGGAGAGAGTCAGTAATATTTGATTTAGTATTATGGAATTTAAAAAAAAAAAATGGATGTATAGCAAAACATAATATTTTTTATTCTTTCATTAAATTAGCAATTCGAAAAACCTAATAGAAAGGAATTCAGTTATTCCACATCTTCTAAAAATGTTAACTCCGCATATTAAGCAAATATCGGAAAATTCTCTAACGGTGTTAAAGTAAAAACAGTTTAATGCCTTTCAAAAGAAAAAAAAAAAGAAAAAATATAGTGTAATGCAAAACTTTTAAACATTATGTTTTATCAAATTTCACTAAATTGCCTTTTTTTTAAATCTAAACTGATTCTGGTGTAATATTTCAATATCACAATTATTTTCATGGAATTATACTTTTCTAAGCGAACGTTTACTGTGATGTTTTTTATTCGTAATCTTAATTCAAAACTAATTTTCTTTAGTTTGTTCTTTCTTGCTCTATCATGTAAAACTTTTCTCATTTAAAGTTCTTCTAAAAATAAACGAGGTCCCATTTGTTTTACTCGTTTAGTTAGTTCAATTCAATTTAAACGGAAAGTACAGTTTGAATTCATGTTTAAGAAAATTATATTTTTTGATTGAACTAAATTAAACTGTTTAACTTAAAATTTATTAACTCTTCTCTTTTAAATTTAACCATTTAAATAATTTTTTAACAGTAAAAAGATGTCTACTCCTTTTATTTTTTACGTACGTTCAACACAAATTTAAATTTTATTTAAATTAAAAGTTTTAACCGCACATCTAAACAAGAATTCGAACATCTAAACAGAAATAAAACGAAAGATCCAAGCCAAGTGTAGAGGGCTCTCGAAAGTACCAGAAATTCCATTAGATAAACTGACGGAAAACGCTACAAAAAGTCGGTCAATAACGGGACATAGACCTGATCGATGTCAAGTCTGTTTAGATCTCTGCTTGATTTGTCGTTTGTGTTCTGTAATTCTGCTGATAACGAATATTGCACAAACACGTATAATTTGCTGATGATGATTAATGTAAAAATGCAAGTGAAATTTAAGTTTCTGAATTTAATGAATAATGAACGAGTTTATAGTTTTATATTTCAATATTTGTTCTCCGTCGTCTAATTTTCTATCCTCGGTTGGGATGAGGCTCCATGTCAACCTAAAAATCTCAACAAAAACAAATCAAACACATCTATAAATTAGGGTGCGTCCTTAAAAAATAATAATAATAAAGTGCGTCTATTAAAACATCTCATTTTATTTTTTATACACTCATTTCTAATAAAATGTTTATTACTAAATTACTCATTAACAAAATTACTCTTAAGGACAATAGTATTTAAAAAAAAAAAATACTCATTACACATCTCATCTTAAAAATGAGAAATTTTATTTTTACTCATTAAAATTTTTATCATTTTTTTTTATTTTACCTCTCAAACTTTAAAAACTGATCTCGACATCCCTTAAATTTTGACGTTATCGACATTGCCCATTCCATACACTTCGTTGGATGGATTTGCTGATGTGGGAGATTAAAATAAGTAGTTGATATATTATCATCTGAGTAATTGCCCCAGCTTCCCACGTAACATCTATATAGTTTTCTTAAAAAAAAAAAAAAAAAAAATCACGCACGCTCTTCTTCTTCATATCATGGGTCAGCAACGGCATGAGGAACTCCTTTTTTGCAATGGCAAGAGAAATTCCATGGATAAAATCACAACACTATAAGAAACAGGGCTATTAGCAACGATGAGAAATCATTGCAACAAATTCAAAGTCGTCACAAATGAATTTTTAGTGACCACTTTTGTGATTTGTCGCAAAACTGTCGCCGCAATTGATTCGTCACAAAAATAATTTTTGCGACGACAAGCAGTCGTCGCAATTATATTTGTGACGACAATCGTCGCAAATGAGTTGCTGCAATTATTTCGTCGGTTACATCGTTAAGATGACATAGCATTGAGTATTTGTGACGACATTTTACGAATTAAGTCGTCGCAAAAGATGCAGAATTAGCTGACGTGGCTTATATTTTTTGCGACCACATTTGTCGTCGCAAATAATATTTAATTTTTTATTTATTTTTTCTCATTTTAATAATTAATGTTGTATATTACTTTATATTTAAACCCAATATTAAATATAATTCATGATATTATAATAATAAAGAAGAATTAAATAAAAAGAAATAAATAATAAAAAAATATAAATAAAAATTATTATTGTAAAAAGTAATTAATAAAATAAAATAAAAATGTAAGTATAGTAGAAATATACGGAAATAAAAATTGTTACATTAATAAAAATCTAATCTCCTAAATTAGCAGCATCACTAGAATCATCATCATTAGCATCGGAAGGATTCGGAGGGGGATGACCTGGATGGACATACGGCACAAGAGGAGTAACCGTTGGGAAAGTCATGTTAGGGTGCATTTGAGTGATGACGTCCTGCATCATTCTGACGCTCTCATACAGCTGGAGGTTTTGCTGGTAACTCTGTTGCAAGTATTATTCTACGTGTGGGTCAGAACGTGTCGTAGAAGATCTTACCAAGCGTGAGCCAGATGACGAGACATTCCTTCAATAAACCTTTTGTGGGAGTGTGCGACCCACTCCAGTCGTGTGTCCTCTGCGGGTGCCCAGAAACTACTCCATAATATTATCCTCGTTAACTACTCCTGCTGCGGATAATCTAGAAGTAGCAGACTGCGTCTGGATCTGTGTTTCTCTTTCTCCCTCCATCCGATGCTACAAATATTATAAGAAAAATAATTAAATACATAATGCAATTTAAATAAAAAAATATAATTAAACATTACGAGTATACTTACAAAAGTCTGCTCAGCTTGGGGATTAACCCAAGTATCCCCATGACGATGCATGTACCCCCAGTTATTGATGACGGACATCGGCTGTTGAGTCCCTGTGGTAAACTGTACAGTTAAATGTATATGAATATAGTGTAATCAATTAC